CTAAGCAGAGCGATAGCCTCGCTTCTAAATATATGGAAATGTTTCAAACAACATTCATGCAATCCAGAACAATTTATAGTTTTTTTTCAATCTAATAATTCTTTTTATTGTGACCAATAATAATAATATATATATAAATTGATATTGAGCATTTCTTTCACTTTCTCCCAAATATAAACACATACATATATATAATAGAAAAACAAACAGATCTGATCTTTTTTTAATTTTATCTTCACACAGTAATGTGAAACAATTGATCATAAAATGAAGCAATATGAAATGTAATAAATAAATCAAATAAATTTTATTTCTCTATACTCATTCTCATTGAGATTCTTTTTTTTTTGAACTAGGATGAAGTACTCAATTTTTTCAATTCAATTGATTTGCTGTATCACATGCTTTCAACACTTTCCATTAATTTGTTCTAATTATTTACTCTTCAAAACAGTTCCACTAAATACACCAAAATATCAAAAGTGACTATGTGACATTTCAAGAATATTTTAAGAAAATCTTATGCTTCTATCTCATTGTTTATATTTCTAAATTTCAAATCAATGACAGTTTGTTGACGTGATTCAGATATAAAAATGTACAAATATTTTAATTCAAACTATTTAGTTTGCTATTACTAATCGAATTTTTTTTAATAATATGAAATACACATTCACTGAAAAAACTAATCAATTAACATTAAGAACTTTAGTTACATTAGATGAATATTTTGTACATATTAACTCAATTGCAAAAAATAGTGGAAATTATAATCATCATTATTCATTTATTATTTGTTTTGAAGATCAATCTACTGTACGTGTCATGAAGTAGTTATCAAAAGTTTCCTTTTTTTTTATTATATGATCGACTAAGAGAATTTCTCAAAAGTGGTCAAGGAGCATCAATTAGTTCCTTAGGTAAACAAAATGGACAATATACCTGTGCAATGGCTACAAAACTCATCGAAAATGAACTGAATTGTCTATCAAAATGTATATATGTAAAAATATTAATGCTTTGAAAAATAAGATAACTGATCGATTATGTACAGTAGAAGCCAAAATTTGCGATCTAAACGATGACATTCGAGTGATTTTTGAGGAAAACCAATTTAAACCTGTTCAAAAAATGAAAACCAAATACTATTATTGATGATACTAGTGGTGCATTAGAAATGACTCTATGGAAATCTCATTTTAATCAAGTGGTATTAGAAACATCATGTCAGATTCATTTATTGAAAACAAGAGTCTATTATGATCAAATATCTTTAGTTGCACATGAGACATATCGTATGTAATTGAAATAAATAAAATATGATAATATAATAAAGCTCTTCTATTCATTTCTAAGATTCATAAAAATTCATGATCTCCAAAATGTCATCAGCACAATCGATAGTGCCATCAATCGATATCATACACTTGAAGGACAAATCATTTGTATTGAAAACAATGATAATCATTACGCATGTCAAGATTATGAAATAGCCAACACAATTGATGAAAATGGTGTAGTTTTATGTAATGATTGTCATTGTCGATTATTGAAAGATGTAAATATAATTGATAATTGTTTGAAAATTATAAGTATGACTTCTAATCATAAAGAATATAATTGAAAAATTTCAAAGTCATTATTAATATCTATGTTTAGCGAAAATAACAGTTGTTCTCCATACAATAATGATTACTTTAATCAAAATAACTTAAATAGCATCATTTCTGTGAATGTTCAATTCACTTATATTGAAACAAGCAGCATCATTAATCAAATTGCAACAGTCATAGATAATGAATCATCTTATGAAAGTATATTTCACTGCTGCTTTCATTCTCGACTATTTACTAAACATTTCTTTTTTAGATCAATCAATTGATTAAACATTATAAAAAATTCACCAACTATTACATATAAAAGCAAACTTATAAATCAAAGTCATATAAATACTTATCAAAAAAAAATGTTCAATCAATATACAACATCACTCAAAGAGTTACTCTTGTTTTAATTCATTTTTATTGAAAGGATGTTTAGGTTTCAATATTAATGAAATCTTGAAAAGAAATGGCTTTTTCGTTTCATGTATTTTCTCTGAAGTAGTAGTCACCGAGTAGTCTATAAAGATTTTGATTTTAAATCTACATTACTATTCCAGTTTTTAGATGATTTATAATTGTAATTCTCCTCCTGTTGATTATTTCAATCGAATAGACGTCATTTCGAATTAAATTTAATTATTGTTAATTAGCTAATTTTTTGAATTAAGTTCTTTTTTTCAACTGAAAGCTTCATTTTTCCAATTAGTTTATGTAAATTAGAGATGCGTTTTGATTTTGTAAAATTACTCATGTGAATGAAATAAGTTTTTGTAATACTTTTTTATTGTTACAATGTTTTTTGATCAAGATAGGATGTTTTGTAAACGTTTAGATACACATTTTTGTATATAAAATAAAAATTAGGGAACAAGATATTATGTCAAGATCTTAAAAATCTTGATTACTCTAATTCAAAATATAAGTACCTGCAACCAAGATCAATAGAAATGATCGTAAAAGAGAACATATTAGATTAAAGATCTTATAAATCTGAACCCAAGATATAGTCAATTTTCAAAGCCTGTTCACTTTTCTGTATCTTGGATCTTGGTCAAGATCTTGCTTCCAAGATGTTCGCCTAAGGTAAAGAGATCACAAGTATTCCGTCATATTGAAAATAATTGTTCAAACATATTTCATATTTTTTCAATAAAGCTGATCATTGTTAATCAGCAAAAAATCTTTGTCTCTGATAATTTTTCACAATTTGATTTCGATTCTTCTAAACTTTAAAATATATTTCACTACATAAAAAAATTTTTCTCAACTATCTTCTAGCTCATACAGGATATGTTAGTTCCACATTTTAGTCCCAAGGAGACTGCACTAACAAGCTTTCCTATAAGTATTATTAATTAATATGTCCTTCTAATACACTTGAAAGAAACTTCAACTTAATTAAGACAAACTTAAATCAACATTAATATTTAAAACATAAAAAATTCATAACAACTCGTTGTTCAGTTATTGAAAGTAGAAACACAAATGTGTTTAAAGAAGATTGAAAGAAACCAGAAAAATCCATAACTACCTGCAAAATTATTATCGTTGTATATTTTGTATTATTACTTTAATATTTTTTTAAGTTTTCTTGTTTCATTATTAAGATATAAACAGTTTCGTCTATCATGTGAGTACCTTTAAAATGACATGTAAACATGACTATTATATGTGAAACTACTGTAATTTGATATATTTTATCCCATTATATTTTTGCTCGCCGTCATATTATCATATTATAAGTTAAAAGTGCAAAAAAAACATTTGTGTACAATCATATACGCGTCTTTAAACTGATATGTAAACACGGCTATTATATGTGAGACTACTGTCATGTGATTTATTTCATCCAATCATATTTTTGACTATCGTCATATTATCATATTATAATGTAAGTACAAGAGACAGACATATGATTCGAATATTTTCGAAAATGGGAAACGGACTCAGACAATGTACACTCTCAGGGTATATATTACCTGCTTTAATACATTTGAAACATTATACAAGTATCAGCTTAAAGTAAAGCAAAATATACTTAAACGATACAAAAAAAAATGGATATGAATAATGTACAATCATGGACAATGATCGTCCTATTATTATGGATTGGTAGTCAAGTTCAAGAATGTAAGTAATAGATACATGCAATAGATCTCTTGCTTTCATTTGGACATTATCTAATCCTCCACTATATTAAGGCTTTTCTTAAGAAGACATTTAACTTTGTTCGTTGCAAGCTAATTTTTGAGTCCCATAAACACTGATATATGTCTTCTTTTCAAATTATCAGTTAGTATGCGTAGTTGTTCTCGTAAATTTCATGTGGAATGAAACATTGAGTATTGAGTTGCCTAGAATTGAATATTTCTTGGTTTTGTTCAACTGTAGTCACTATCAGCTGTAGTGCGTCATTAGAGATAGAAGACTCGACCAAACCAAACCAAACAATATCAATATCCCTATCTTGTCAAAAGCGTGGTGGGATGCTACTTTCACTAACTCTTGATAAGAATCAGCTCGTGGAATTATAATCTGCAATCAATTTTCATGCCAGCAGCTAAACATAAGATAGCGAAAGAAAAGATCAAAATTAATGAGTAAACTTAAAACATTGGAAGAAATCGATTTTTTTGCTCGATATTTATCTATTACAAGTATATTAAGAGAAATCAAAGCGATCACAAGGTTTATTCGAGATAAGTATATTAATTGTGTCCTTCAACTTACGATTCGTGTTTTCGAAGTAGTGTTATCAGAGATACGAATGAAATGATGACGGTACATCATTCACCGTTCTATCGTAGTGCCAGTGTTACTACTGATAGACAGCTGTCATCATTGCATTCTCGACTAGAGTAATATTTATTTGAGAAATTGTCATTAAACTTACTGTCTTATTTTTCAACTATGTATTGTTTAGCCAAATGCCAGCCACTAGAAACAATACCAAAAAGGATTCTTCGAATTAGAGGATCAACCGTGGCAGCTGCCGGCACTAATTCGGACATACTATATTACGGAGGTCCTGTTATGCCGACTCCTGTTGCGTACGCAATCTTCTATGGAACTTGGACTGAGGCTGATAAGACTATGGTACGAACCTTTTTGACAGATCTAGGCACCTGTAGTTGGTGGAACATCACCAATGCATATTACTCAGATACAGCTTCTTCAATCGCAGACTTGGTCTATGGGAACTCATCATCGGATTCCTATTCGAAAGGGAAGAACTTGAAAGGAGCAGATATACTAACTATTGTGAAGACAGCCATTCAGAGAGGTTTAAAAAACGACATAAATGGTATCTATCTTGTGCTAACCTCTCCTGATGTAACCATACCCAATGGGTTCTGCAGCAGTTATTGTGGTTGGCATAGTTACGACGGCGGAAGCATGCTGAAATATGCCTTTATTGGAAATCCAGCTACCAAATGCCCAGGTTCCTGTGGAGCACGAACCCCATCACCAAATAACAATCCGGGATTAGATGCAATGTTCAATATTATGGCACACGAACTTTCTGAAGCAGCCACAGATCCCCAAATCAACGCTTGGCTTGATGCAGCTGGTGCAGAAAACGCAGATAAATGCGTTTGGACTTTTGGCACTACATTTTCGACGTTGAATGGTGCAACTGCCAATGTGATTTGTGGAGGAAACAACTACTACATTCAGCAAAACTGGAAACTACAACCATTGCCTCAAGGTTGTGGCTTGTCCTAAGCAATGTTGGTACTATTGGACACTGAACTAGAAGTATCATTCATAGTAATTTTTTCATTTCCATCCTTTCTTTTAGTTTGGAATTTTAGTGCAAAATAAATTTAACTGTCTCGTTTTCGTCTTTCTCAAATATTCACATAATAAATGCTATATTAGAATTAATTTTTCCACTAACATTGACTAATCGAACATTTTCTTTCGTTGTTACTCACTTTTTTATAATCATCGATAATTAATAAAAAAAAATGAAAAAAACATTCATGGCACCTTGCGTAGAAATATGAATCAACTCGAGATGCCAGAAAAAGCTTGCATTGTCATCATACGAATATCAATAGTCATCTTGCTCTATTTGTCAGATACTACACATAAATCAGAGACCGAAAACGAATCGAACTGAACTCAAACCATTCCCCCCAAAAAAAGCTGTCGAATTGAACCGAACATGAACTAATTTTCGACAGTTAATCAAAATATGAAATATAAAATTGCTTTAGATAATATTTATTTAGAATAACTTATATTTCAAGTAGTTACATTCGTCATCTTCATGGTGATCAAATAATCTATGATACACATGTATATATGTAGAGAGGAAAGAAAAAAAAAGAAACAGATATTGTCCTCTCATATTGTTCTTTTCATGTTAGTCACATGGTCGATTATATGATTACTATAAGACGAACAATATAAGAGAGCAATTTCTGCTTCTTTTTTTTTGTCTCCTGTCGATGCATACATAGAGCCGATAGAGCCTATTCCTAATGAATTTTCAAAAGTAAAAATTTAAAATCTCATAACTTTTTTAATTTTTTGTCAGTTTTGAGGACAAAAAAATAGGGGTGTGAATTTATTGTTATTGTTATTAATAACAAGAACAAAAAAGTTATTGTTATCAATAACAAATAACAAAAAAAGTTATTGTTATTAATAACAATAACAAAAAAAGTTATTTGTTATTAATAACAAAAAAATAACAAATAACTTTTTTTTCCGAAAATCTTAGTTATGCTTTGTTACTATGTAACAGTATACCAGTTCTGTTTGCTCATTATTGTCGGATTGCTCGATGATGTCACTGACCGCAATCTCCATTAGATAGCCTATGAAACTGGGAAAAATCCTAAAAAGATCTTTTCAAGTATCTTGCTCATCTATAGGCAAAATTTACTGATCGCTTTACGAGGAACGCTTCCTCAATGCTCAATTGTCTTTGACTTGATGCGTTGGTCAAATATAAGCCTTTGGAGGATGAGAAAATGTCTAGAAAGATTGTACAGATCATAACTCGAAAAATGGCACCTAGAATCTCATTTCGCAAAGACTTTTATTTGACCAAAACATCAAGTCAAAGGCAATCGAACATTGAGGAATCGTTCCTCGTAAACCGATTAGTAAATTTTACCTGTAGGTGAGCAAGATACTTGAAAAGATCTTTTTAGGATTTTTCTCAGTTTCATAGGCTATCTAACGGAGATTGCGGTCAGTAACATCATCGAGCAATTGGACAATAATGAGCAAATAGAACTGGTATACTTTTACATAGTAACAAAGCATAGCTAAGATTTGTCGAAAAAAAAAGTTATTTGTTATTTTTTTGTTATTAATAACAAATAACATTTTTTGTTATTGTTATTAATAACAATAACTTTTTTTGTTATTTGTTATTGATAACAATAACTTTTTTTGTTATTGTTATTGTTATTAATAACAAAAAATAACAATAACTTCTCACCCCTACAAAAAAATACTGACGCGTAGCCTAAAGTGTTCTCTACATATGTAGATGTTTAATTTTTAATGAAATTGATTGCTCTTTCGAGTAATTGTATTTGTTTATAACATTTCGTTGCTGTTGCTAACTTCATTTGAGTTCTAGTACTACCTACTGATGAAGTTTCTTTTATTTCTTTCTAATGAATCTTTCATAAAAATGTGTACGTTGAGTTCTCTGGTGTAAGAATTCAATGTAAATGTATATGTTCAAAAACATGTTTGACAACTAACAAAATGTGGAATTGGTGCTAATTTTTCTTTTGTATTTGATTTCTTGGTCGGAAAACCGAAAAGCTGCCAACAAACAGAAGACAAATTACTCTTCGTATTTATAATAACTGTATAATTTGATAAGTCTGTTTTTAACAACTGTGTGATTCGTTCAGCTGAATATTGATAAACACCTAAGTGAAATCAGAATTTGAAGATGAGGATAACGTAATGATAGAAGAAGACGAATTTGTGACCAAATCTATCAAATCACATTCAGAAGATTGTCTTTCGACTATAGACGACAAATTATTCAAAGATATTTTACTAGCTATAAAAAAAAAAAAAAAAAATTAGATGTAACTATTGCAATAGATCGATCGAATTGTATTCTTTCTTTATCTGGTGATTCATTATTATTTTTTGTTGTATATTGCATCGAAATAGTTGCAATGTTTGATCACTTAAGTGCCATTGATTGAAGACGTCTCGGTAAAGAGAGAAGGCATCTCAAAACTAGACGAATGTGGATAGAGGAGGTGGAGCTCAAAAAATGCGATTTTGTACCTGGATGTTCTTGGTGAATGGCTTCTCATAGAACTTTTTATTTTTAACTTGTTTCACTCAAACAGATGAGTACGACATCTATATGAAAACAGTTGTATTGTTCTCAGCAAAACAATAGCTTTATATAAAATGTGTTCGTCCCATGAGATGATGGGATGAGAGTGTCCCATCCCACGCGGAGCTCTGTTGTAAATCACTTTACTCAATATGTAATTGAAATTGAATAGTAACTTTTGCACCAGTTCATAGAGCATCTTTTTTACACTACAATTGGTAGCATGCGCTCATCTATATCTTCTACTTTTGACATTGTCTTAATCAGAACAGTGAAGTACGGAGAAGAATTTTTTATCTATGATAGTCCCACGTGTGGCTATTATGAACCAACACTTAACATAACGGGGTTATCATGAATGCTATGCTGAAATGACTATAAAATGTGAGTTTATACTTCTGATCACTTTCCAGACACACTCAACATTGGTGTCCGGACAGAATGTCGCAGGACAAAATGTCGTGGAGAAATCGTTGCGGACAATATGTCGCATGGACAAATCGTCGTAGGACAGAATGTCGCAGACAATATGTCGTGGACATATCGTTGCGGATATTTCGTCGCAGGCAAAACGTCGCAAAAAAAACGTTGCATGGACAAAATGTTGCAAGAACAAAACGTTGCGGACAAAATGTTGCGATACATTATGGTTTGAGATATCTACGATTTACCAACCAGTTTGATCGAAGATGATGATAAAAATAAAGAAAATTAGAAGGAAATACTACAATTTCAGAAAAAAACCGGACAACTGAACTGAAGCCCAGTTCACTTATTTGTAAAGTTTTTAAAGACTTTTCATTGCTATAAAAGGGTTTTTAGAATAAGTTTCATAGACTGTCTTCAAGAAATAAAAGTTTTCAATTTACTCTAAGTATTCGTATTTTTTTATGAAACAGTTTCAAAACGAGAACATTGGAGATTCCTGCCGTTATATCTTATAAAGTCTTGAAAAGTACGTAGAAGATTTGGATCCCTAAGACTCCAGTCTTTTGAAGACTTTAAGAGTCTTCTGAAGTCTTGTAATCTTAACGTCTACTGTTGGTATAGAAGAGTTTATGTTGTCCATCTGAATTTACAAAGTCTCAGACACAACCCTTCTGGTGGATGTTAAAGGAAACTTTGATTTACTTTACAAGTGAACTGGGCTTCAGTTCAGTTGTCCGGTTTTTTTCTGAAATTGTAGTATTTCCTTCTAATTTTCTTTACTTTTATCATCATCTTCGATCAAACTGGTTGGTAAATCGTAGATATCTCAAACCATAATGTATCACAACATTTTGTCCTTGCAACAATTTGTCCATGCAACATTTTGTCCGTGCGACGATTTGTCCATGCAACGTTCTTTTTGCGACGTTTTGTCTGCGACGAAATGTCCGCGACGATATGTCCACGACATTTTGTCTGCGACATTCTGTCCTGCGACGATTTGTCCATGCGACATTTTGTCCGCAACGATTTGTCCACGACGTTTTGTCCTGCAACATTCTGTCCTAGCGCCTCAACATTGGATGAAAAATTATCTGCTGGAGAAATTACAGATCATCTAATTCTGAACAATCGGATACAAAACTTTTTATCATTAGAACGAACAATGAAGAATTCGAACAACAAAAAGTAAATCATGCGTCTTACTCAGTACGTTTTTATAACTTAGATGTTTACTTTTACATCGGATTTTTAAGAAATAGATACTTCTTATATAATCTGAAGTTTTATCTACATCAGAGATAGCAGTGAGCTCTTGCACTATAGGGGAAAAAGGTTCTGGAAAATACTTTGTATATACTTGGAAGCACGAATCTAATGACTGAATACTATGGCACAGATATTTGAGTTCCGGTCAGAAACAACTTCTTTCTGGTGGAAATGCACAGATTCGAACATTAGAATTATCGACTCGTGCTATTTTTTTTTCATTATCATTAAATTGACAATGTTTTTTACTAGCTTTAGACGCCATGTGATGCACCTAATCTTTGATGGTTTTGAAAATTGATTATTGGATTGGCATACATTTCACTAAACATCCGATAGTTTCGTAAAGTTATTAATGGTTTCATGCATCATGTACTGAACCTTGAATGATGTCAGAAGTTAGTTTGTGGTTTTATACATCTTTCACCAAGCCTTCGATAGTTCCGTAAGTTAATTTATAGTTTCGTACATTATGTATTAAACTTGTGGTAGTTTCGGGGATTACTTTATGGGTTCGTATATTCTATATTAAACCTTCGATGGATCCACAAAGTAGCTCATGGTTTGCTTGATCATCTACTGAACCTTCGATAGTGTCATAAATCCGTTTACGGTTTCGCACATCGTGCACTAAATCTTCAACAGTTTCCTAGGTTCATTAATGGTTTCGTACATCGTGCACTGAACCTTTGATAGTGTTTGGAATTGGTTGGTAGTTTCGTACTTTTTGTAATAAAGCTATGATAGTTCCGTACATTTAGCACTACACCTTTGTTAGTTTCGTAAGTTAGTTTATGGTTTTGTAGATTATATACCAAACCTCTGGTAGTTTCATAAATTACTTTATCGTTTGGTGGATCGTGTACTAAACATGCCATAGTTTCGTATGCTGAACTACTGTTTCGTACATGATCTACCAAACCTCAGATAGTTTTATTAATTGGTTTAAGGTTTGGGACATCTTCCAAGGAACCTCTAGTAGTTTCCTAAGTTAATACATGGTTTTCGAGATCATGTGCTGAACCTTCGATGGTGTCGGAAGTTTGTTTGTGGATTCGTACATCTTGTATCAAACCTTCCCTAGTTTTGTAGATCGCGGAAGTTTTTGTGATACATCGGCAAAAACGTTCTGCGCATCGTTATGAAACGAAAGGTGCTATCTTTTTATCCGAATAAGAATCTTAGGTTTTGCAACAAATTGATAAGTCCCATTGTGTAAACTGAGATGATGTTGTTTGTAAATCTTGAACAGTTCGGTTTTAATTCTGAACTATCGAAATCTTCGAACAAATGAGTTCTAGGAACTGATCCACAAAGGATGTGTGCGTGGTTGTGAGTGAAAGAAGATCTACATCCACACCCACATCCTTTCGATCCTTTTTTCCCCCCAAAAAGGTAAGTGTTTAAAAAAAAGGCTGTGTACTGCACTGCATTCTGACATGCTCTTTCAAAAAAAAACAGTCAAATACATCTCACGGACCTGGACTAAGAAATTTGATTTGCCAAATGACCTATTTTTGACCCTTGTTTGGTCAGTATCTCACTCAAACATCATGGTACAGAGCTGAAAATTTTACCATAGCTCTTCCACAACAGCCCCAACATATCCTGAATATCTCATGCCATTTGCACAAACCTGCGCTGGGATCAATTTTTTCGAGGGGGAAGGGAGACCTTAACTTCCATTTGCATGGAAACCATTTTGAGTACACAGGTTCATCACGTAATGCTCATCAAAAGTTATTTGCTAACGTACTACCATAGCTGAGACTATGCCATGAATGATAACTCATTTCATTACGACGCATTTCCATTATTGATGAGCCAGAAAATCATGATCGATTACAACTGCCTTCTCTAATACTAACAATGCTTGCTCCAACTCACCCTTGTCTTCATACACAAAACCCATGTTCTCGTAGGTACTTGCAATATCGGGATGTTGAGAAGAAAGTGACTTCAATTTGATTTCAAGTGATCGATTTTAATGCTCCAATGCGAGATCACAATGACCGAGACAATCATGAACACCCCCAATATTGTTGTACGATGCATCCAAACTAGGAGGATCCCCTAGCAGATGCTTCTTCTTTATAGCAAGTGACTTCTCATAGAAGTCGAGCGCTTCAGAATACTTCTTCTCCTCATAATAGATGCTGCCAATGTTATTGTAAAACATGGCCATCTTAGGGTGATTCTCATCATGTGCTCGTTTGAAGAGCGACACGGCTCGATTGTATGATTCGAGTGCTCGACGATTATCACCTTTCTTTCGATGAGCCTCACCGATGCTGTTGTGTGTGATACCAATATTTACATGATCGGATAGACGAGTTCTCACAGGAATCTCGAGTGATTTTGGTACTATTATAGACTCGTGTCATACTCGCCTTTCGCATTAGCAACTTTTCGACCAGATCGAATTTTCCCATTTTTCTTACAACATCACCAAGAGAGAGAAGATTCGTTTCCTTTGTATGACATTTGTTCTTCATGTGATCATAGAGTTGTTTGAGATCGTTGTTATGACCACTGCATAATGTCATTCGAATGATCGATATTGTCGCATCAGCTGATGATTGATCATGATAGAGCTCATTCAAGCTAAAGATTGAACCGCTCATGAAGAGTACTTCTAGTTGATCATGAGTTTCGTTGAGCTTGGCGATTCTTATATTTGGAAACATTGTGTTATGAATAGTCTATGATTATCGTAGACTATGAACTGAGTTTCTTGAAGGACATCATAAAATATCATTGAATATAAGGATTTTTGGCTGCATCAATCATAACAAAGCCCCACTCTCTACCTCTTCCCATTAACATTCACGCCTTCACCCACACACTCAATTTTGCGGAGAGCTAGTATCGCTGGGGAGACGGTGTCCGGGGAGCAATATTCGTGTTACCATAAAATAACGGGTGTTGCAAAAGTTCCTGGGAAAATGTTGCTTCATTTTTTATCGACTAAAGCGTACGTTTGAGAAATCAAAAATACCTATTCAGAATCTGCATTGAAAGCGCTTTCTAACTGTATGTTGGAGAACATTCTTTCATAGCTTGCCTTTGAGTAAACAATACATCCTAAAATAACACTAAAATATAGTCTATAGAAAAGAACTCAGAATGACTGCAGTATTGGAAACCTGTATTGCATTATTTTTCGATTATCTTCTATACTCTTCATCCTATATTGTGTTTCTTTATTAGGCTCGTCGTTTAATTCTGGACGAAGTTGGTAGAAAATACCATGACATTGCTTAAAGATAGGTTTTCTCTGTGGTAGTCATTGTGGGTTGCTTTTTACAGGCTATATTTTAGTGCTATTTAAGAATATGGTCGCTACTTAAACGCAAGACATGATAGAACTTTTTTGAACATACAGTTAGAAAGCGCTTTCAATATAGATTCTGAATACGTTAGATTACTATGAATGAATGTGTCGAGATTTATTGAAAAATAGAAAAAAAAGAGAAAAACCTTGATATATATTTTAGAAATCAGTCATTTAAACTATATGTATCACTAGTAAACCACTATGCTGTGGTATACTTGAAGTCATGAATAACTATTTCCACCGTTTGACCATTCATTGGTGGTTTACCTTGGAAGAGCCATAAGTTCATATGCAGAGGAGCACTAGTATAAGGAATTGATGGTGCGAATGCTGTTGGTGTTTGGTATGAATAAAAAATATTTTCAGTTGGTGAAGTCATAAAACCATGTTGACCTAGGAAAGAAACCTTATCTGAGGTCCAAGTAAATTGATGAGTCGTGTAGGTTCCTTGCAAAGATATACGTGTGCCATTAGATACTGGTTGAGCAATACCCAATGTATGTGGATAGACTGTATAAAAATAATTCGATGCTACTACTTCTGTTCGACCCCATTTAGCTACTTCAATATCAATTTCATTCGTACCATCAACACCTCCATAAGTAAACAGACCCAACACTACCCTAGGGTCAAATTTATCAATGGCTCCTTCTACAAACCATCGAAAAGTGCCAAAACCAAATTTTACATTGGTATATAATTCAGCACATGTCCATCCACCTTTTCTACCTGAATAATTAAGTTTCAAATGAAGTTTACCATTGTCATCGACCCAAACATTATTTGAATTCCAATTGTTTGGACCTTTGATAAAAAGAAACATATAAGAATGTTTTTATGCTACATTGGTTAAGTCTATAGTTACCGGGTCCACTATTTTGATCGTCACGCAGGAACCATTGATATCCTGCCCAGGTAATTGATTTTTGAGCATTTATACTGCAGACTATAATATAAAAGAGAAGATCGTTTGATTATATGTGACAAACGATAATGTCATAAACAACAAACACATACCTAGAGTTAATAAAAAAACTGCCGCAATTGTTGATATTGTTCGCATCTTCATGAGAATATCTTATCTTTTAATGATGTCCTTAAAAAAAAACATATATTCTATTACTTAGTTAGGACGAAAGTTATAGATATTTCTACATGTACGTGGATAAAGGCCTTGCTTATCGTATAGAAATACCAAATTGTGGAAGATTATATAATTGCAAAGTGATAAGAATAAACCTAGACTATTATATATTAGTATTTAATATTGTTAAAAGAAAAAAATAAGCTCAACTATAATATAACGAAAAAGTAGCTACACTTCTGAAGCATTTCGTAAACAAAAAGACACGTGGTATTTACCGAGCAGGAACGATTGAAACTTAACTACCTATTCATTTTCTTTAGTACAATGCTTTTCTACTGATTAAGAACTGTATCCACAGATTGCGCATGATATGATATTTTTGACACATCATATGCGAAATAACTTTTTTCAATGAATCAAATGATAGTTGTACAACGTATACAAACTAATATATTCCACTTAGGTAAGCGAAGAAAAATATGAGTTCAATATAGAACGATTGACATAAAAAATCTCGCTTTGGTGAGTATTTTGCTTGACCTCTATTGATAATGTATTTTAATTTTTTATGAGTCGTAATCTACTTAAAACCAAAGAGTGCATCGAATACGCTGGTTCTGAATAATTTTGGCTATTATTACATCAACATTGTGAGAAAATATCACAAATCGATAAAAAAAAATGATTTAAATGATCCAGCCGTTTATAAAGACATTGAAATGTATTTTTCGTTTTTCCTCAGTTTTTTTTTATTCATATTATTTCAATTAACTATCTCAATCGTTTCGTGATTCGTCCTACCAATCATATGTTCTTTACAAAATATTGTCATTTTTCTCTTACCCTCATATTAACTATCGATTCTTTCTTCATATCTTTTTCGTTTCTATTCAGTACACAATATAATTTTATAGAAGAAAAATATTAAAGGTGACTTTTTTTTGTGACGTTTAATTGCTAACTAGTCATAATCTTGTGTAAAAGGTCAGTTTTATTTATTTCATAATTAAATTGAAAATACTCGTGTAATGTATCATTCGTTTGAACTTGATCTTTTGAAAACATCCATTTTCAAAAAAAACATTCAATATCATGGGCAATGCACTACAAGATGGGCTCATATTTTGCGATTCTAATTATTATATTCCGGTTTAATGCCAAATTGAATGTGATCTTCAGAATTAGAATAATAAACTTAGTCAAGTAAAATATATTTTATCACGATTTAGAGAACAGAATTTTTGCGTAGAAAACTATATTATCGGACTCAGTTTATTATGCTAATTCTGAATATCATATCTAATTGGACATTAAATCGAAATATAATAACTAAAATCGCAAAATACGAGCCCATGTTGTAGTTTATTGTCTATGATATTGAATGTGTTTTTTTTTTAAATGGATATTTTCAAAAGATATTAGTTGAACAATCGATAGAGCTTTTCAAGTTCTAACGAATGATACATTGCACGATTATTTTCAATTTATTATGAAATAAATAAAACTGACCTTTTATGCAAGATTGTGACTAGTTAGTAATTAAACGTCACACAAAAAAGTCACCTTTAATATTTTTCTCCTATAACGGTATGTTTACAAAATTCCACCAAAAGCAATTAAATATCACATTTATATGAAACAGTAGAAATTAAGAAAGATGCTTCTCCATCTAAAATATTCAATTCATTTTGAAGTTGATTAATGAGTAACTTAGTCGAGAGTTCCGTAATTTTTTTTATTGCATAGGCATACAATTGAAGATATTCTCTACGTAATGACAAAGATTGTGGGTATATTCAGAGAGGACACCACCATTTTCTTAATAAGAAGCCTTACACTTACTATTTATATTTGCTTGATTATTCAATATTTGATGAAGCTATCCCAATAATAAAAAATTGTATTTTCTATCGATTAATAGCTAAAGGTAGTTGTATCTGATATCCATATACCTTTTATTATAATCAATGCACAAATATATGTATATATATATATGTAGATTGACGTATAATAAGTATGGTATAATAGCATTCTCGCACGTTAAAAATCATACCTAAAAAGGAGAGAGAGAAAGGTTTGATGAATCACATGACAGACGGGGACAAAATATATGATATAAAGATAAGAAGTAGCTTTCCCTGGACTGTTCGTTCGTTATTTGTACTTGCACGTGCTGCTAGGTACTTGAGATGCGATTAATGGCGTGCGCTTACTAATGCATGCAAATTCGTCAATCTTAGTAATCGTTTCATTTTCGCCATTCCTATGAATAGACCGTATACTTATTAGAAATAGTGGAAAAAATGGCATGTATAATAAGAAACTTCCTTTTTAAATAAAATATAAATTAATTAGTTACCTACATATACAATATTTGTGTTTTGTCATTTATAAAATATGTATTTTTGTCATAGCTCTTTTTTATATGCAATTATTTGAAATCTTATTCTGCTAATTTGCTCAATCTTTCGAATGGAAACAAAATTATATTGACTTCGATTTCTTTTTTCCATTTCCTTGATATGTTGTAGAACGAAGCACACTACACAATATTACCATAATATCTATCGATCAATGTAAATATATATGTATTTATTTGTTTTCTAGAGCTTTTTTCTATTTGTTGAAGTGATGATTGATGAAGATTGTGAGAAACACGTGATGGAATATATTTAATCTTTTGTTCTATCTATTAATTTTTTTTCCTATTTTATAATCTTGACCGAAAGACGATCATCGTTTTGATCTTGATTTTGCATCATTCGCCGAACTAGACAATGATTTGTTTCTGTTACATCTTTGTCGTCTGCTCATAATAGTATCTCCCTCCTACAATAATGAATAGTATGGCATCAAATCATTTTGTCGTTTGAATTTTGTATTTCTTCAAAGTATGATATGTGAAAGCTCCAGCATTAAATCACCTAACAGTACATTACGAGCTTCAAATTAGTGTAACACTTGTTATTGAAAAAAGATCTACTCAAAAAAATTTAAGAAAAACTCGAGTCTTTTTTTTAACTTTATGTTCCGTTCACTGACTATTGCGTTCTCGTCTTGATACTCATGTAAAAAGTTGCCTGAAACGTAAACAATTACTCTTTTTCTGAAAAATCATAGATATGCAACTTAGTTGCAAAGACGAAGGTGTTGTTTATCAGATTGTTTAACAATTTAATGTTAACAACTAGATGAGATCCTCTTTCATGATGAAATAATAGGTCAATTTTTTGTCAGAAATTGTCATTTTAGAAACTGGACTTGTATATTATGTTAAAAAGAAAGCAAAAAACTTTAGACATCGCTGATTATGCCAAGAGAGAGATTCAAAGTAATTAAAATGTCGACTATGTATTACTTAAATAATCACATGTTGAATTTGTATAACAGGGAACGCATTCATCAGGATAGTAAAAAATAAATTCATGGAACTAGTATTCGTTTTTGAAAATAAGGCGGTCCAAGGGAATGCCTGTAACTTTTGAAGGAAACGTGATAGAGATCTGCGATTTTCATCGTTTTGTAGAGCACATCAGGACATGTAGTAGTACTAAATATCAGACCTACAGATAAAGTTTAATATAGTATATATTTCTCTGCAATATTCATGACGCTCTCGTTCCCTAATAGTACGATGAGTTTTGATTTTCAAATAGTGAGATCGATAGCCCATATCGAGATCTACAATTCTAGAGCAACCCCAGATCTTCGTCTCATACGGTTCAAAAGTTATAGGCATTCTTTTGGACCGCCTTATTTCCAAAAACGGATACTAGTTATTATCTTATTTGTCTTTCAACAAAAAAATGAAGATCTATACCGCGATCTCATTTTTCTTTGTTATCTATTTAATTTAAGGAATCGTATGTATAATTGAATTAATCATTATTATTATCAATCTAAGATATGATTTCAATTAAGATTGGTGAACAATGTTTGAGTGATCAATGGCCACCAAAACCCGATCGAATGTTGGAAAGATGTTACAGTTACTTATAAAAATGAAGTAAGATCAATTTTCATTTTGATCATTATGAATGTCATTCAACTTAGTGATTTGGTTGCTTATTTGAAAACATTTATTATCGAAATTTCACCAGAATTTCAATTGTTGAACAATCTTATTGATACTAAATTAGTAAGTCTTCAATACTAATTTTTTAATTCGTTTTATTTTTCATCATTCTATTACAATAGCCGACCATGGTTGATATATTACCAGCACAATATGGTGATGAAATGAAAGGCAGCAGTCAAGCATTTGGATTACCATTGGGTAAATTGAATAAAATAAACATAACGGAGAAATTTTTTTATAATTTATTATTTGTTGTTATTTAGATGAAATTGTTTTATACAATATTTTTTATGAAATTTCATCCTTAGGTACATCTGTTGTAGGACAAGATCAGTATGGCAATATCTTACATGGACAAAATCTTGACTTTGGAGGAGCTATGGAGTAAAAGAAAAATAAATCCTTTTCTTTTCTCTTAAAAATTTGAGACGTTAATCTTACAATGAATTATGTAGATAGAATCCGATTTTTTTAAAATAAACATTATTATAAGGACTCACAAGTATGCTACTAATCCAACTTGATATGATCAAAACGAAACTTTTGTAGCATTCAACTGATATTACTGTCGAGTAGTTAATCAAAACCGCATACTGAAAAGAGTTTTAAAAAAGTAGAGCCTATCGAGTTCAGGACCCACTCGACGAGACCTAAATGGAAATCATAAGAATTATGATTTTCAATTTTAGGAAGGCGAAGATACATTAGAAAATCTCGATGATATATTCTACCATATAAATCTATGTTCTAGTTGGGATAAGATAAATAATACTTGGATATTAACAGAAACGTTACGTCCACTAATAGTTCAAGACAATTATACACAAAATGGTTAAGTTCTCTTCAAAACGACGACCTTTCTCGGGTATAATAAGTTTAATCATATGATTGTTATAAATCTTTTTATTGCTTCCTTTAGTTACATTGGATCATTGACTGGTATAAAACCAGGTATATTTAATATTTCAATCAATGAACGTAATAGTCTTAAATGTGGTTATATTGGCCTAATTGAATGGATATTTAATATTAATCGTAATCAATCATTTATTACATTTGTTATTCGTGATATGCTCACAAAATCTGATAGTTATGATGAAACAGTAAAATATTTAGCTGACGTTTCACTATTAGCTCCATGCTATTATATTATTGCTGTGCCGAAAGCTGGACAAGTGAGAGCATGTACTAGATTTTAAAAATAACCTGCGTGTAAAAAGTCTTTGCAAAAAATGTTCGCTCACTATTTGACCGCTTGAAAACAACTAGTGAAGACCAAAAGTAGTTAGTTGGAATCAGAATTTTGTGCTCTATCAGAATATATACTTGGAATTTTTTTCTAACCTAAGGCTGATTCACTCTGAGCAAATACTTGAATTAGCCGAAAATGTAGTTTGTACAGAATCCTATTTCTGCCAATTTTGTATTTTGGTTAAAGCTTAGTTAATTGAACAAATGAAACGTCTGTTCATATGGCAGTTTGTAGAGAAAAATTTTCTCTGCAAAACACATATCTACTCATCTTTTTATAAATCGTCAAATTGGCTCGAAATCGGCTACATTCGAACAGGTGGATTTCCAAAAATCGATTTTTTGACAAAAACTGTTTTACGTTGAAAGTAGCACCTAGGAAAACATCTGTAACTTTTGATAGTTTTTAGTTCTACTCTATTATAATACCCAGTTTTGTACAGAATTGAATGCTCTACAAAAACGCCTAATTAAAACCGCGCTTAAGCATAGTCTGGAAAACTAGCGGATTGCAAAAAACAACGTATTTTGCCTTGTACGGATAATTATTTCGGTCCCTTCAAACATTTGCTCGCAGTGAACCAGCCTTAGGTTAGAAAAAAATTCGAAGTATATATTCTGATAGAGCACAGAATTCTGATTCCAACTAACTACTTTTGGTCTTCACTAGTTGTTTTCAAGTGGTCAAAAAGTGAACGAACATTTTGTGCAAAGACTTTTTACACGCAGGTTATATTCATATAGAATACTGAATTTTTTTTTGTCTATGAAAGGGTGTCATTATAACTCGGTCACGAAATGGACTTGATGATATCAAACTATTAGGCAAAAATAATTGATGGTTTATAGCTCAAACTAATTATGATAATTGGAAAAAACAACCAATCTACGATGATCGTTTAACACCATGCATGAAATGTATGGAAGCAAAAGGCAAAAATCAAGTTACATTTCAGTCTTTATTTAATGTACTTTCTTCCCGACCTATGCCAAATAAAGTAAAAAGTGTTCTTTTTTGTATTGTTGCTTTGATTCTAATAGTGTTCATTTTTTGTTAGGAAACAGTATATATATCTTTGATGGAGCCAGCAACAGGTCGACCTTGGTGAATGGATTTGTTTTTCAATTGAATAGATGTTGCACACCTATCTTTATTTTTTATTTCATTTGTGAAATGAATTTCCATCATGTGTGATATCATAAAGAATTGATTGATAAAAATATTGTTCTTTTTGATTGATACAATAAAATTTTAATACATGAGAATTCAATGAAATGGTAAATACAGACACATACATACCAATTGATTTCAATTTTAAGGGAAGATGACACTGATAAATTCAAGATTCGTGATGTAACAAAGAAACTTCAAACGTTTGTATGAAAAAGATTAAGCTTTCTCTAATTCTTGTTTACTTACGCCATTACTGCAATGCATATAAGTTATAGACAATAAATATCTGACCGAACATGGTATACAATGTTTAAGAACATTACCATCCTAAATGATCACTTACTAGTACTAATTTATGTAGAAATTCGTACATCTCTCTTTTTTTCAATGCATTAGATTTGGATGTAAATGTAGGCTTTCTCTATTCCCAAACTTAGTTCTTTAAATTAAAACCTTGAAATTGTAATTCATTATTGATGAATCTACTTGATAATGAACATGTTAAAGTTAAACGTGCTATTTATTGAGTAAGATGTTTTATTTATGCAGTCGAATTGAGGAACTGAGATCGAACGGTCCAATCCGCCAATAACTCGCAGTGCCACTAAATGCATATTCAGATGTATACATATCATTGGTTTCTATGGTTAGAGTTTAGAATAAGAAGAAGGCGATCAAATATTTAGTTTAGAGGAACATAGATTTTATTCGTTGTCTAGAAGAAAAATATGTTTCAGAAACATTTTATGTGACATTATTAATGTGCTTCTGCTTACATTTCAATTTCAAACTAAATACAAATGCAAGTTTTTAAAAAGTTAGATTTTTATAACTTATCATTAATAAAATTGATTTTGAGTAACGCACTGTTGAACATTTATCGGTTTGAGAATCTAGTTCGACAGAATTTCATATTGTAAAAATGTTCATCAATCACAAATTGTGCATGAAATAGTCGCCGATTTGACTTGAATACTGCATTTTCTAAAATATTCTGCATATCATTCATTTTGACGTTGCATTTTTTGAAAAAATTATTATCCGAAATAATACACAATATTAAAAAGACTAATATTCTTCTAATTAACGATATATATTAAACAATTAATCATCATTCTATAGTTGTAGAAATAAATTAATTCAAACTTTTTCAAATTTCAATATACAATCAATATAGATGTATATCTATAATAGTAGTTCTGGAAAATATAGACACCATTACTATAATGGTATGAGAAATTTTTCAAATTTAAACTGAATAAAAATATATGAGTAGTGAGCATTAATATATGTATGGAAGAAAAAAAAATCGATGTATCGCTTTTTATAATGATATTTTTTGCACAAAGGTACTAAACAATCATTAAACGACATAAACATAGAATCTGTCCAATGTATGCGAAAAAAGAAAACATGAAAGAAGATATTATAAGCAATATTGTCGAATACTAATTAGAAGAATGATAAAAAAAACGATAGAGCTAGTCAATTGTATTTGATTTGCGCTGCTGCACAGTTCATTGTTGCAGCAACAGAATAAAACTTTCGAGTCGAAAAGTGTTCCCTGGCGGCAACGATTTTTCAAGCACAAAGATGTCTTGCCGTTCAAAAAAGGATCAGCACCTCGAGACACAATTTGTCGATCATTATTTTCTTCCTTCGTTTTCTAAAAAATAGTATAAGAGATATGAATATTGATTTACAAAGCAATATGCTAAGTCGTCTCACTCAACACCACCCCTTTTCTGACGTGATATTTTGCACGCCATAAGCATTTTTATGCAACGGATTCTGACAGCTCAAGTTCACGTTGCAGGATTAGCATCGAATAGCAGCTGTATTGTGCATACCTGTAACGAATACATGTTCATTACCAAATATGTTGTGAAAAACAGCCATATTGTTCATGAATATAAGAAATTTTATAGTCACTGGTATTTAGTCAATATTTTCTTAATGAATACCTCACAAATAAGTTTCTTTTGCTTCCATTATTTGTGAGTATTAGTAAAAAAATGCTAATACCCACTAGCATCCATAACCCTAGCATTGTAACAAGACAACCATGGCATAAACAAAAGCTTGACCCGCAGACTCTACAAAGCCTTATAGGAAGATACTATTTAGAAGTGTTTCGAATGTCTATTTCGAGTTCCGACATTATTGATGGTATATGTGTAATCGGTGGTAGATCATTTTCGAAAATTAGTGGGTATGAATGTTTGTGTGATTGTTGATGAAATCCTTAAATGAAAACTGTTTTATACCTGAGAATAATAACAATATTAGAGCAATTCGAACCTAAATAATTGAAATCGGAAATCTCAGAGGAAGTATTATAACTCTCGAATGAAACAAGCTAGGAATGTTGATCTTACGTAGATCGAAAGAAAATTAGCTTCAGAATAACATTTTCGAAAATCTTCACCAAGAACTCACGTGATCGATCAATGACTCACCAATGAATTTTCAATACAGTTTGATGCCCTAAATCTTTTCTTTTGAATGATGATAATTGAAGATCACTATGATTTAAAGCACAGAGAGCATCATTCAAAACAGTTATATCCATGTTTTCACAGAAAGAGAACTTACATTTTTTTTAATGAACAACAAGCGAAATTTCATTCAATTCAAATCTCGGTTAAAAGCTATCAATGGTTTCCTATTTAAACAAATTACGATAATTGAAAGAAACGTAGTCTATCTTCTATAGTCAATCAACACAAAAGATTAAATCTATTGAAACAACAAGTAAAGATTAATACTACTTTCGAATCTTTATTTAATCGTCTTTTATCACGATTTGTACTGAATCAACTTTAATTTAATTTTATTAATCATTCAAAATAATTCTAATTCTGTGAGTGAATTCTTTCGCATAATGAGGTGTATTCATAAGATCTGATCATAGAAGATTTTCTAAATAAAATAAACAATTCGGTTTATCTTTTATTCTTGTTTTTCTTTTATGCTGATCTTATTCCATAAAACTGTTTTAATTTTTTTTTTAATAATTGAAACAAAATCAATTTAAACGGTTTGTCGTTTTTTCCATTGTTCAAGTGGTCCATGATTAGGTAAATACTTAACATTGGCACCATCATATTGTAAATTTCCTTGTTGCAATAAACGATCATAATCTTGACGTGTAAATTTTGTAAAACCCCATTTATCGGAAACAAAAATTTTTTGTCGACCTGGAAATTTAAATTTAGCACGACGTAATGCTTCAACTGTTTGTGCTTTATGTTGATCTTTAACACGAACTGACATAATAACTTGTCCAATATTAACACGAGCAACAGTTCCTAATGGTTTACCAAAAGCACCACGCATACCTGTTTGTAAACGATCAGCACCAGCACATGATAACATTTTATTAATACGAAGTACATGAAATGGATGAACACGCATTCGTATATGAAATGCATCTTTACCACAATGTTTAACTAAATATTTATTAGCACAAATACGTCCAGCTTCAAGTGCTTCACTTGATAATTGTTCATATTCATCGGATACAAGATGAACACATAATGGAAATTCATCAACACGTGCTTTCTTTCGACCCAAATCAAATATACGAATTTTTGGATCAGGTACACCACGACAAAACCGAGATTTTGGCTATAACAAAAAAAAAATTAAATAATGAATACGATTAAAATTGTGTATTGTTTTAAATAGAATAACTTACATATGGCTTGTTCTTGCAATAGCGATAGCATCGTGCAGGTCGTCGACCCATTTTTTTTTATTTTTATCTACAAAGTAAAAATAAACAATCGATATTGAATTATTTTTACTAAACGAAAAAAAAAACAAAAAATAAATATAAATATCTAATAGACACTACAGATTCATTCATTATATGACTCTATTCATGTTTCGACCACCATAATGAAACAGTATATTATAACACACTGAAGCAGATTATTTCAAACGAATAACTTCATCATCATAAAGGTTCATAATTGAATTTCTATTGGTTCTCCATTTTATTATTGATAGTTGAGCAATGATTGGTTATATTTAAAGATGTCCCCTAATGTATATTGATATCATAGCTAGCATTATAAGATTAGAATTTCTTTAATCTTCGCATTCTGATTCGGTACACTATTGTTACCTATTAGAAATTTGATCGTTGTAATTTGCATGTAATTGAGTAATAATTTTCAACGAATAATATTCTCGAATATTCAAGTAATCAATTGGCTAAAATCATTTAACCAATCAGATTTAATTGAAATTGGATCATAAATTATTGAATTTGTATCTTTATACTGATTCTTCCATTTTAAGTAGACGAAGTGCAAAGGTCGAACAATTATCTAAAACTTAGTGTACGTAGTTGCACTTAAATGTTGTCGAAATGATTTATATCTATCTTGGATGGTTTTTTTTTATTGCATCTAGGTGAGAGTCGAGATTTGATCGAAGAAACAACCCTAGATATTGTTTTTTATACATGGGCACATTTGATATTCAAACCAATAATCATATGAGTACTAATAGTGAAAATACAACCAGTAGTGATGGTCAAAATGAAGAAATTAGTTCCTTACGTGATTACTTTAAAGATAAGATTCGTATCTTATCATCGATTGGACAATTTTCGTATATTTTAAAAATTCGACCTGATCAATATGATGTTTCATTAACATTACAATTGGATCGTAAGTATCATAGAAAAAACAACCAAAAAAACCTCTTTTCATTTATTTATAATCATAGAGTTTTATCCTTCAAAAGCACCTGAAATAATAATAACTGCACCACGGCTTGCTCCTGATCAAATTACACTGATTCAACAAGTTCTTCAATCTTATTGTGAAACATTACTCAATAAACCAATGATTTTATTAATTTATTCTCGTCTGCTTCAATGGTTTGCTGAAAATAATATTCAAACATTAACAGATCATACAAATTCACATGTTTCTTCTACTCAACGCTCACGTAAAGATAGTAAAGTAAATATCCCATTGGTACCCGTACAAAATGATAATAAAAATAATTATATTGATGAGCATGATGGTGAACATGTAAAAAAAACTTCTATGAAAACAGCAGAAGATGTTATATCACGTATTGAATGGGATGATCTTCTCGATAAACGGTTTTTTCGTGTTGGATATATTGATCGCTTTCTTGGTTTACAAGAAAAATCATTTAATGATTTTGATTTTAAAGTTGATCTATCAACAATAAGTGATCGACATTCAAATATACTTGCTATACCTAAGCATCGAATACAATATTTTAAATATAATAATGAAATTGTTTGGGATAAAGAAACACGAACTGATGTAATGTTTGGTTCAACTGGAAATCAACAAACAATATATGATGTTATTGAAAGACATAAAAAACTCATTGAAAATAATCATTCATCTCCGTAAGTTTTTATTGAATTGTAATCAAAAATTTTTTCGTTTTTGATATCAATTAGAATATCTGATAATGATACTGTCGAAGATGTTGATATTAATATTCCTCCACCACGTTATTTAACATTAACAGATGGTGCATACAAACCAAATTATTATCTTTCAATACCTATTATAGATCAAACTTTTATTACTAACTATACTGCCTATCAAGAACATTTACTTTCATCCTATCCATCTCTTTTTTCTTCCCATACAACTCCGTCGAATCTTCATTTAACATTATTAACTTTACGTATTGAAACATCATCACAAATCGAACAATGCATAACACTATTAAAATGTCTTCAAGATGAAATTCGTCAGCATTGTTCATATCCTGAAGATATTTGTTTAGAATTTAATGATATAGATACATTTCATGATAAAATCTTATATATTAAATGTAAAACAAATCAACGATTAGAAAATTTACGTTCATTAATCGTTCAACGTTTTAGTGAAGAACAACAAAAACAAGATATTCAGAATGTTTTGTTTGCTGGAAATTATTATGAATTTATTCCACATATAACATTACTTAAATGTAAACGACAGTTTTCATCGATATGCCCGAATGAAACTAAAGAAATTCATTTTGGTAAACAAAAAATTCATTCTTTACAATTATCTTCCATTGGTAAAAATGAACATGCAGAGCAAAAAAATAATTGTGTGTTTCAACTCGATTTAAGTTAATTTTGCATTATGTCAAACTTTTCCTCTCTCCATTTCTTTTTTTTTGAATTTACACGGAAGGTTACTACTAATATCGATAGAATCTTCGTCATTTCATTACTACGTGTAAATAAATATTTTTAACGTTGATCGTATTTGTATACGTTAATATTTTTACGTTGTTCTTTTTCCGTTCTTGATATTTATTTTCATGTGTTATCTCGGATGATGATCAAAGTTTTTTTTTTTTACAAAAAAAAAAAATAGAGATTTTATTGATTTTATAGAAAAGAATGGGTGTACAAAATTTTTGGCAATTGCTTGAATCAACCGGTCGACCGGTTAATATGAATAAAGGTTTAGAAGGAAAAGTCTTAGCTATTGGTAAGAGTACAAAAAAAAGAACAGAACTGTAATTCATATGTATTTCTATACTTCTCTCGAACAGATATCAGTATATGGCTTCATCAAGCAGCTAAAGGCATGCGTGATAGACAAAATCCGCATATACTTTTATTATTACATCGTATTTGTAAATTATTACATTTTAAAATTAAACCGATTTTTATATTTGACGGTGGAGTACCAGAATTAAAACGACCAACACTAGTAAGTATGAAAATTAAGAATAGTTTTGTATAATGATTGTCTTTTCGTTTCTTTTTTGTTTTTTGGCTGAACGACGTCAACGACGAGAAGTAGCAGCAACAAAAGCCAAAGAAGCAAAAAGTAAAATACGAACAAATTATTTGAAAATGTTAGCTATTCAACAGCTGAGAGGCGAAGAAAGTAAGTATTTACGTTTTTGAAATTTGAAAATACGTTGATATCAGTATTTTATTTTTGCATGATAAACAAAAGTGCAGTATATCCTCGAAATTCATATTTGTAGAAAAAACATTGATAGATATATCATAATAAAAAACAAAAAGAATCTTAAGGCAATAGTTTCTTTTTTGTGCATTAACTATGTATGTATAAGATTTTATGCTACAGAAACCTTGAGAACAAGTATGAAATTTACGTAAATGTGTATCTTGAGGTGTAACAACACGATATTATCTAAATAAATTAATTTCAATTTAAGATAGTTATGTGGCGATTCTATTTTCGTCTAAATAATTCAATATTGGTGATATTAAGATCAGAAAATCAACCTTTTAAGTCTTAACTCTTAACGGTATAGCAATATTTTCTGAACCAGGACTCTCTCTCTCTTTTGTTTGATTTGATCTTATTTTAGTTGAAAACTATAGGGTATGTAAGTAACACGATTTGGAGCAACTATTATACTTACGAGAGAAAGTCTTCAAGTGTGACTTACCAATCGAACTGATATTTTGTCAATAAGCAGAGCTTGTAGACTTAAGAAGGTCCTAAAATTTTCAGTCTAAATGGTTGTATTGTTTTTTGGATATCGAATGCTCAGAACACTGAACTTTTATTACTTTTTCTTGTGATATATGATTGTTTGTTTTTTTTGGATATTCAACATCTCTAGAAGAACCCGTCACTTGAGACTCCAATATTCAGAGCATTCCATCTAGAACTTTCCGAAAGATAAAAAATTTAATGGAATTGTAATAACATGGGTACCTACGAACTTACTTCGCTAACAAAATCTTTTAATTTGTGATCATCTTCAATGCTTATATACTCATTTTAGTTGAATCATTACCACCAGCACCAACTGAAGATCATGAAAAAGATTTATTTGAATTACCAGATACTCATTTACGTGCACAATTAGTCGATGAAGATCATGAGTAAATAATGCAAAATTTAAAAAAATTATTTTGATAATTCTTTTTCTTTTTAGAGAAGTTGATGATGAAATTATAGAAAATACTGAATTTGAACCAGTAACCAAATTAAAACGACAACGAACAACATGGTCGAAAAAACGACTAGATAATAATGCTAATTATCATTATGTTTTACCTAATGTTAGAATTCTTTGTTTTTTTTTTTGAAAATTTCATATAAATTTTTTTATACTCTAGCTAAATGACATGGATGATAGTGCACTGAGTAATTTACCTGTTGAAATGCAACATGAAATTCTAGTAAAATATTAGAAAATAAAAAAGAAATGTTGTAATTTTTTTAAATTTTATTATAGACTGATATGAAAGAAAGTCTTAAACGTGGTCAGCAACAAATTGAAGATATGCCTCAAGTATTGATATCATTCTCTTAATATAAAAGAAACAACAACAACTTATTTCTTTTATCTTTAGAAAAGTGATTCTTTCTCTGATTATCAACTACAAAAATTACTTAAACAAAATATAGTTTCACAAAAGATTTTTGCTCTTAACAAAGCTATTAAACGACAAAAATTTGGTAGTAATCAACCTTGTGTTTTTTTTTACATTCTTTCTTATCTTATTAAATCATTTTCATTTAGATATTCCATTAGAATCAAATGCTAAAGTTTATGCAGGTAAATTAGCATCAGATTCTAGTACACAATATATTCTCATCAAATCTGATACGACACAAAAATATACACCAGCAAATCTATCAAGAATTTCATCAATATCAACACCATCACCATCTCTCAGTCGTCAATCAACCAATGATTTTTGTGTTAACAATTTAATGAATCGCGATCCAGTTACTGGATCTGTTCAACAACGAAATATAACTATTGAAATGGATTCTGTAATTAAAACTAATGATGATAAATCATTATTTATTGAAGAAGAACAAAATGTTAAAATAGATATTCAAATTGAACAAGAAAAACAATCTCCAATAAATGAAAATATTATTGAAGAAAATTTTGTTAGAGAAAACGATGAAGAACGTTTAGCATTAGAAATAGCTATTAAAAGATCATTAGAAGATCAACAAATATTAGATAGGGAAAAAAATAATGATAAATCAAATATAATTGAATCTTCTTCTGACTCAGATGGTAAAATTAAATAAATAAATGACAGAAACACATATGGGTCATCCTCAGTTTGCTTCTATTCATAGTTAACCCATTGTAGTTTTTCTGTAATAAGTTTTTTTCGAAGTGAAAAATATGTCAATCGACTGCCTACCTGATAGACTTTCTCTGGTAAAAATTTCAGCGCGAACAGTCGAAGTGTTGTTGAGTAATGACGTGAATATCTCATTGTATTATTATTTCTGTTCACTGTTCCATTAATGTATCGAGAAAGAAAGTACACAGTATAGATTTAATTGATATGAAAAACTTGTCAGAAGAACTACAAAAATGGATAATTGTCGCTCTTTTTAGAGCTAGCCATTGTTAAAAAAGACGATCTAATTTTGATTCATAGACGATTTTACTTTCTTAAATCAAAATCCGTTGAAAGTCATTGAAAAAAACGGTGTCTAAATGAAAAACAAATTCTACAAATATCGAAAAGTATCGGTTTTTGTAACCCTTCTAACGAATTTTCAAAATCAATCGAAAACCCATGTTGTTTTTTCTTTTCTCGAAATCTTAAGAAAATAGAACTGAGGATGGACCTAATGCACTTCTGTCTTTTAATAATAAAATGTTCATTTACCTTTTTTTTTTCTATAGAATCTGATTTTATCGATGTTCCAATAGTACCGAAATCTACTGAACCAATTATTCTTCCACAGTTTATTAATGATGATAGTTATGATATAATCGAAACAAATAATAACAATAATACATCATCTGAATTTATAGAACTTGATAATGATGATGAGAGTAGTCATAATAGTACAGCAATTGAAGATATTAAAATGTATATTGAGAATGATAAAGATCAACCAAATGCTGAAATTAAAGATTTATTATTGTCTCAATCAGTAAGATAAATATCATGAAAAAAGAAAAATCATTATTTTTGTATTTTGTTTTTAGGAAACATTAGATCAACTTCAAGCAGAAATAGTCAATGATATAGCTGCTCAATTAGCAACAGCTCGTGGTAATGAACGTTTAACTTTGACGCTGACAGATACAATGCATGAAGATACACAAGTAAGACAAAATACATAAAGAGAACAATAATTTTATCTTTTATTTTTATGTTCTTTATTAGTATCTACTTCGTTTATTTGGCATTCCGTATCTTATAAGTCCAACAGAAGCTGAAGCACAATGTGCTTATTTGGATTTATCCAATCAATGTGATGGAGTTATTACAGATGATAGTGATGTTTGGTTATTTGGTGCCTCGCATGTTTATCGACATTTTTTTCGACAAAATCAATTAGTTGAATATTATGATTCGACAATAATTGCTAATCAATTAGGTATATAAAACGAGAAAAGTTTTCATTCAAAAATAGTTTTGTTATTTAGGTTTAGATCGAGAATCAATGATTGCTATTGGTATGATTGTTGGTTCCGATTATACAAAAGGTATTCCAAATGCTGGTATTATGACAGCTTTAGAAATTTTACAAGAATTTCATGGAACATGTATGGAACGATTAGAAAAATTTCGGTAAAAATTATTTTATTGTAAAGAAAAATATATTTTCATTTTTTTTTGTCTATTTTATTAGACGTTGGTGGAAAAAAGCACAAAATTCAGAATATAAAACTCAATCAAAATTACTTAAACGTTTGAAAAATTTAGAACTTTTTGAAGGTAAAAATCTTGATGGAGAATGTGAGTGTCATGTCTGTCAAACTAATCAAAATTAAAATAAATGCAGACGAGGATAGATTGAGGTCGAATCTTTCACAAAAAATATGATTTTTCATTTGACACGACATTTTTTATTTTTTTTACGCTGTAGTCTGACGTGCTTGTTCGAATGGAATTCAAATTAAATATTTTCGATAAAGACTTGTCGAAAGTTAAGGATTCTTACTTGATGAATATCTCTCGAAAACGTTAATGTATAGGGTTAAAAAACTTTAGCATAGATCTCCATTATAGCTTTAAAATATTCTGAAAATTTCATGTAATTCGAATATATCTGGTTCAAAACCGGTTTTTAACGAAGCTCAAAAGAAATAAGATGAACGAGATCCGACAATCTGAGCTATTTCTTTCATAGATATCAAACAGGCATTCATACTCGACGACCTATTTGGATCTCTGATCGATACTCACCCTCGATCTTATTCCATTATGATCAAGCAAATACATTACTAAAAAGCATGAAAATCAATGTTTGATACGAAAATCAGATTGATTCTAACACACTGCCATTGATTTTTCTCTAATTCAAATAAAGAATTTCGATTTAGGTTTTCCAAATAGAGCTGTTTATGATGCTTATAATACACCAAAAGTTGATTATGATCAATCGAAATTTACATGGGCTATGCCACAACTTGAATTAATTCGAGAGTAAATTAATTGACAATTGACTTTCTTCTAATTCATCATCAATTTTATTTGTTGATAGATTCATAGGAAGTAAACTTAAATGGGATCGACAAAAAATCGATGATATGATATTACCAGTCATCAAACGAATGAATACAAAAGAAGTTTGTATTGTTTTTTTATTTACTTTTTTTTTAATTCCTTATTTATAAATTTTAGGTGCAATCACGGATTGATTCGTTCTTTGCTCCAGTTTTATTTGAAGGTACTTCAAATCAATTAAGAAAAAATACACGATTAAAATCTGCAATTGAATTACTTAAACAAAAAACTCAAGAAGCAAAAGAAAATCCTAATGAATTAAATCTATCCGAAGATGATGATGATAATGGTACTCCTATTCCAAAAAGAAATGTATCTAAACCTAAAAAACGAACAAAAACTACAAAATTAATGAATAATGTATTAGATAGTGTTGAACAAACTAAACGACGATCGAAAAAGAAAAAATCTATAGTTTCTCCCGTTTTATCAGAAGACGAAAATTTTTGATTTTCTTTTTTAAATATTTTAATATTCGAGCAAGAATTTATTGTTGTGTAAATACCGAGAAAGAAAGAAAAAAAACAAGCAAAATAGTCACTGTTAAAAGTTTTCCATTAAATAAAAATCAATATTAATAAGGAATATTATAATAAAATGAAGGTGGAGAAGACGATCGTCGATGATATTGATTACAAATAATATGACTTGAATTTATTAATAAAATTGCTTCTGATGTATTGATTGTTTCATATGAACAATTATCATAGATTGGTATGTCTTTTGGAACATGAGATATTGATTTTGAAACAAGATTATTTCTTAAAGATTTTTTCCCATGATAAAATTGAATACATATAAATAATAGAGTAAGAAAAATTGAAAGAACAAAGAAAATAATACAACTAATAATTATTAGATGAAAATTAATTTCTTGTTTTTGTTGTCGAGTTGACGAACAAGTTAATTGAGGAAGAATTTTTATATTAAATACATCCGATGGAAATATTGGTGGAGGTGGTAGAGTAAATGGTGGTGGTGGTGGTGGAAGATTGAACATTATTTTCATGTGTGTTCAATGCAATAAAACTAGAATATTTAGCTGGTATGAGAGTAATCCGTAAAATGATTCGATTTGCCTATCTATCAATAATATGTATCATCGTTGATAATGTACATTTTTATCCGTGACCAATCTAATGGTATAGAATAGGTTAAAATGATAAAGAATAATTATCATCATTAGCATATTCAGGTTAGAGTGAGAAAAAGAAAACGATCGATTGTAAAATCGATTGTAAAATACATACAATAACTAGTTTTTCTTATGAAGCTATATATGTATATGGGTTTTTTTATACATGCATATGTATTACATAATCATAGATATTGATATGTATGTTTTATTCAAAACGATTATTCGACGATAATTAACAATGTATTTTTTTTATATGAATGGGAGGAGATAAAAAATAATATCGTATGAATATTAGTATTTTGTATAGAATGAAACGTGAAATCTTTTTAATTTGATTGTGTGCGAAAACAACAGGATCGTTTTCAAATGCTACCATCCAATTTCAATTACTTTTATCTATAGATTCTATATCTAGTACAATTTGTTAAACACTTCAAAGTTTCAAATTTAAGTTTTCAGATATCGAAATTTATTGAACAATTAGAATAGTTCTTTCGCTATATGTTTCTCTTCTGTTAAAAGAGATAAATATTTTTTTTTCTATAAATCGATCAAATCTAAGCAACTTAAGTCTGACTTGTCTAGTTCTAATAAAGTTTTTAATAATCAAGTATCGTAGACGGCAAAGCTACAATGCTTGGATAAGCTTCAATGTTTGCTTTTCATTTCATCAAATTGATAGATTTATTGAAGAAATATTGAATTTTGTATGTCTTAATGTTAGATCTTACATCGTTAATGATTTGAAGTAGTACTCCTTTGTTAACAGTGAAGAAGAAGAGTTATACGAGAAATCTTAGTTAGATAAATTCCAAGTTATTGAAAGCGTTTTTACCATTAATTGCTAAGCTTACATGTCTAAATTAGAGATCATATTGGTTTACATTTTTTAGGCGTTTTTTACTGAGAAAAATTGAAAAATATTTCCAAGATGAGATACAATTATTTATATTTCCTCTCTAAATTCGTCATGGACTTGAAAAATAACTGACATACTCAGATTTGATACCTTTGAAATTCTGACAGCGTTAATCTTGCTAAAACAATCATGCATATTCAAGCGAATAGAGACATCTTTCATATGTTTATGTATGGTAATAAGACATATGTGTTTCAAAAGAAAATCGATTTTCTTAACAAATGTTCTTGTTGAAATAGTATTCTGAAGTTAAATTTAAACTCTTGATGATATTTGAAAAAAATTCATTACTTTATTTATAATTAGTTTATTTCAAAGAACCAATTAAAATATTTAGTACTAAACAGCAGCAGCTGATGTCGATTGTGTTTCGCTATTTTTATTTTTATTTTTCTTCGCAGTTAAACTATGTATACTATATAGTTTGAGTATGTATACATGTATTGTATATTTATAATTGTCTATTAAGTAAGTTCCTTATCAATTGTATATATTAAGTTATTTATTTAAAAGTTTACAATACTTTATTCAATAAATATTTATTATTATTTTTTTCAAGGATGCATTAAATATTTTCTATTAAATATTTTAGATTTGTATAGTCGTAGTCTATTTTCCTTCTTACTGTTTTTGTTTTATTTCTCATTTTCTTGTTCATATTTGTTTGATATTGTCTTTCATCGTGTTTTTTCTTGTCTCTTGTTACAATGACATCTGTGCCAACTGAACTGTATCATAATCATGGTAAGAGAAAAAAGAAATTAAGAATAGAAGAAAAAAAAAATTTCTTTTTTCCCTGATGATTTAATCAATTAGATCACTATCAACGTGAAACGAATAGTAAATTATTAACAACATCCATGAATACTATAAATACCAATGATGATATGATTCCAATAAAAGCACAACGTGAATTGGGTATTATTGAAAAACTTTGTTCAACTTATGGTTTTGTTTATTGTTGTCATCGTGATGGACGTTATTTTTTTCACTTTAGTGAATATAAAAATGATATTCATCAAGCTAAAATAGGAGGTAAAAAAAAACTTAATTGATATAACGAAGAAATTAATTTAAACAATAACAAAAAAAAAATCCTAGATGTTGTCGAATTTGAAACAACAATTGATAAACGAAAAAAAAAACCAGTTGCTGTTAATATTATACCTGCTAGTCCAGAAATAATTGGTGAAAATCGTGTAGAAGGTACTATTGCAGTAGTTGCACGACAACAACAACTACAACATAATGGCGTAAATAGAAAATAATTATTATTATATTTTATATGTATATCATTATTTTATTTTTTATAGTTTCCTCAATTTGATTTTATGCCAGATGGTAAAGTAACTTATGTCAAAAAGGGTGAAACATATTTTTTACCTTATGGTCTTGCTGATCTTCAAGATGCAACTATTCCAGTAACAGTCGGTGATCGAGTTCGTATTTCATATAAAATCTTTTCATGATGATGAGTAAAAATTCTTTATAAAAAGGTTTCATTTAATGTTGGTCAAGATCGTCGTACAAATCAATTCTTTGCACGAAATGTAGCACTCATGGAAAAATCTGTTCCATCTACACCACCAAATACAAAACGTTATCGTGGTGTTATATCAACAATGAAAGATAGTTTTGGTTTTATCGAACGTGAAGATGCACTTAAAGAAATATTTTTTCATATAACCGAATTTGGACCGAATGTTGCAACAAATGCAATTCAACCAGGTGTAGAAGTAGAATTTGATATTCAAGATCGACATGTATGTTATGAAAAAGCAATGTTCGATTTTGATTTAAGTATAATCTCGAGTTAAGGAAAGATTAGAAAATATTAGTTCAATTTACATGAAACCTTTTCTTGGATATGGAAAATTTATTTTTGGCAACATAATAATCTAAAGGAAAGAATTTCTAGAAAAAGTTTATTTTCATTTAAGAACATAGCCGAAAACTATTGAAAAACTGCACACGATTTTTTTCATATGGTAGAAGGCTGTTTGCAAATTAATTTTTAAAAGTATCATCTGAAAGAGTACGAAATTCTGAATGAAATACGGTAACCTCTTATTTTACTCAAAATTTCGTGTTAGACATGGAAACTACTTATTTCATTTCTCAGAACATATTTGAATTTCAGTTAAATACCTGTTACCACAGAAAAGAACTTCAAAAATACATCGGTTTCATATTTTTGATCGATACTGTATTTAGTTTTCAATCGAATTTTTTTAAATTGCAAAATAAATAAAAATCGTAAACTTATTAAAGATTTAGTATAATTAATCTTTTTGCGCCACTCAGTATTCCGAATAAACCGAAGTACGACACTACTACATGTCTAGATATATTAATCATGTGAGACATAAATTTTGTTTATTTTTAAACAATCTAGACAATAAAAATTTTAATTCAATTGAATTTTTATTTGATTTAGAATAAAGAAGTAGCTAGTAATATAATTATATTACCAAAAGGTACAGTTGAATTTGATGATATGGATAAAACACCTTATATTGGTCGTATATTACAACCATTACAAAATAAATTAAAAAAATCAGATAATACATTAACGGGTCGTTTACTTTATGATACAACAGACAAGTAAAACAATTATTTTTTTTTCTTTTGTATAAATTTTCTATTCCTATTCATCTAAATAGAAAAATGTCAGAATTACCATTCGGTGAACGTGATCGTTGTGGTTTATATACATTACTTGAAAATGATATTGTGCAATTTGTTATTGCTAAAGATAAACGTGATGGTATGATGCGTGCTACACAAATATCTTTACTTGATCAAAGTTTTCTTAAATCAAAAGAACAACGACAAATGGTAGAAGATTTTATTTATTTTACAAAACAAAAAGAAATTTATTTTCTATATTTTTAGGGTATTGTTACTAAATTAGATAATATCACAGGTGGTCAGATTAAATGTTTATCATCAGATCAAATCGTATCGTTTCGATTTAGTGAAGTTATGAAAGATAATTTTGAAATAACCGAAGGTGATGCATTAGAATTTACATTAGCATCAAATTCAAATAATGGAGTTTGTTTAAAATTATTTATTTATTTTTTTTTTTGCAATTGATTTTCTGTCTATTTATAGGATATGCCTCAAGCTATTCGAATTAAATTAGTATCAAAAGATAATTTATTGAATATGAATGGTCATGAATTACGATTAATGGGTATTGTTGAACGTGATGCTAATGATGGACGATCAGGTTTGAATATCAAAAAAACGATTCGTTTTATTTAATGAGTGATCGAACAGTTTAGACAAGATGTTTGTTCACTTTTGATTCACTAGAAAGTATTTTCGACGAGTCAACAGCCATGCATTAGAACCAGAACTTTGTACTCTTTTCAGATAGAAGGTTAAAAATTTTGTCGTACGAGAGAATCTCTTCTACTGTTTCCGTCTGATTTCAATGATTTTTTTGATTACAAACATTGCATAATGTTCCAATAAAAAACTTAAAAATATTTTGGTTCCTATTGATATTTGACTAAGTTATTATGTTTTTAACATGTCAGTTTTCTAGAGACCTCAGCTTTTCGGAACACTCGTATTTTGAATTTTGATCTGAAACTTTGTGCATGTAGACAATGCAACTAGATGAGCTTCCTTAAAAGAGGTTCACAAGTTTTGAATACACTCTCTTCGCGATTTGAGACTTTCAAGATGGAGATCCTATCTCGAGGAGACTTAGTTCAAAACTTCTGAACTTCTTTTTATGGAAGCCAGTCTAGTTGAGTGTTCTCTAAATGCACAAAGTTTCAGATCAAACTTTAACTTCTTCGAGAATTGACTTCTCTACAAAATAGATATAATAAACAAATGTCGATAGGAGCCCAAAGTATTTCAGGTTTTTATTATAAACAGTATGTAGTATCTATAGGCAAAAAATCATTGAAATTGAAAGGGGGACAGTTCAAAA